GTCTGCAAGGAAAAGTGACTTGGAAATGAAGATCTGCTCAGGAGTAACTTATTCTGCTTGGACAACTTTGTAGCCAGATGTGGGATAGTTACTTCGGCTGTGCAAATCCTTTAAGAGAGATGTTTCACAAAATGTGGGAATGTGCTTTGAATAAGACATATGCAAAGACAGCCAAGAACAGTTTATGAAGCAGCTGCACAAGCCTGGAAAAAGACATGGCTGCTTTAATGATTCAAAGAGAGATCTTTGTACACATTTCCACACACTGCAAATACATCTTTTGAAAAATTTGTGCAGCTCTGGTAGCTACAGTCTTTAGTATAAAATTCTTGAGAACAGTTTATTGAGAACAGTTTATTGCTATAACCAAAAGGAAAGTGTATTCATTTTGGTCCTAATGTAAAAGATTTTCATACTGTTGGATTATTGCACTCTTCCAGATAATATATTCAGAATTGAAAAAGTAGCACCAGAATTTTATGCATAGTCTAGCATGGATCTGTGGTACAGAAAAGCAGATGGCCATATCCTTGGGGGCTACCTGCTTTATAATAATGACAAGAACATTTCATGCTGGCATTGTTTTGATTTGGGTATTAAGAGTTCCTTTCTTACATCATACATTGGGTACAATCTTAAGACTTGTGGAATATTTTATGATATTCTAGAATGTATGATTTTATAATAAAAAGACTTACAGTAAGTGACAACAATAGGGCCTCTGCTGACTTTGTTTTGCCATTAAAATCAAAGAGAAGCAGCAGTTTAGAGCAGCAAGCAGTGTCAATCCCTAGTGAGGCTAACTGTCTAAGACACTTTCCTGGAGAAGTGACTCTTCACTGTCTGCTCTACAGCCTCTCTTATCTTGTATTCACCCTTTGGAACTTCAACTGGGTTGATTCAGCTTTGACTTCTCAGTTGATTTACTGGCTACCCTTCTGTGTGTTTCTGGATACAAATATCCCCTTCTGCAATTAGATATCAGATTACACAATTATGCTTTTTCTGCTCCTAATCTCTGATGCTGACATAGGACCAGACATGGAGGTAGCACAAAGACTCGATGGTGCTGACAGCCTTATATTCTATGCCATCAAGGTTTGTAATAATCACTATTTTTTTCTAGCAGCAATTTTTAAGCCATTAATAAGTCATTCTAATAAACATAAACTAGGCAATAGTCTGCTTAGGACAAAATAAGTACAATATATTAAATTCCCTCACCCCAGATCATTTTTCCATTGGAAAACTCCAAATTAAAGACATCTCAAACCAAGTGAGAAAAATCTTGACTGTCAAAGAGACTATACAATTCTGAGTCAGCAAGGTAAGTGATGGGTCTTAGCATAGCTTTGGGGAGAACTCAAAATTTAACAGACTGGGTGATATCAGCAACTGTTCATGATCAAACAGGAGAGTTTTAGGCAGTACAGCAAATACCACACCTTAATCCCAGCTCTACTTTACCAATACTCTGCTTTATCAAATACTCTCCCTCCAGATTTATATGCAGACCCCACCTTGCTGCAATTCCATGGTTAAACTATTTTTTCAACGTTATTTCTGGCTGACTGATTGTGGGTACCCATCTTGGGTTTTATCTGGGTTTTATTTTTTTGCTTTTTGTGATTATTTTTTTATTTTGATATTGCTCTGAATTACTGATTTATTGTTACGGTTTTTGTTTTCTTTCTGTTGACGTTGTCTGCTGCCTAGACTCCTTTGGGTCTAAACATTCAAAATGGATGGGCAAGATATCTACTTTTCAATACAGGATTCTTTTAAGAGTGATAAATCATGCTACATTCTGCATATTACCTTTTCAGAAACCGGGATTATGTTTTGGCTAAGGAAACCGTTCTCATATTATAAGAATAAAATCAACTGCTGAAATTCAGTTAGTTTATAATTTATTCACTCTTGGCAGTGTTCCCACTGACACTGGGGACAATAACTATTTAAGAAGTTCTCTAGTCAGAGATATTGTTACTAGTTTATCATTGTGAAGTAGAGTTCTATGTTATGAAAAACAAGCAAACAAAACCCCACAAGAAAAACACCGTTTCAATGGAACTAATTACAGAACAGTGATGCTTAAAAAAGTGCATGCATATCAATTTACATTTCTACTAAACAGCTACAAAGGCAACACGAGGCAGATGAAATAAGAAAGCATTACAGTGTATTGTTTAATTGTAACCTGCATCAAAAGAAACTTTCCTACTTTAAAAAAATGCTGAGAGCTTGCAAAAAGTCATGGTCCAGTTCATCAAAACAAATGGCAGCTCACATTAACCAAGTATTTACCTCAGGGTAGTAATCAGCTGTAGGTATAAGGTGTTGAATTAAAGCATCAAGAGATGCTGAGGTAAGGTTTCCATCTTGAAAGATCAGTCCTCCTTCATCATCTTCTTTGGATGGATGGAGGTGATGAGGGCTGAAGCCACAGGAAGTAAACATGCTGGCAGAGCTCAATGTTTGGGGCATGCCTTTCTGTAACAAAGGAAGCACATATAAAATCAGTCAAAGGTACACTCCAAAATTACAACAGAGCCTGGCAATGAATGAATGTAAGGAAACATCTGCGTTTGCAAAATGCCCATTCCTGAGACACACTTTTCCACCATCAGTAGCACTGAAGAACACTAAGCAGTAGAATATAAAATATGAAATAATCATACAAGTAAAACACGTCATCGTCATCAACAAAGAACCTCAGCAAACTGTTCAAAGGCAAAAGTCAATCTGAATAAAAATGCATTTGATAGCCAGCAGAAAAACAGCATTAGATTAGGGAGAGACAGATCCATTCTAGTTTTTATAGCTTACATTCACTTAACACTGCTCTGGTATCAGTTGTGAATTTGGCAAAAAAGAAAAAGAAAAAAGAAAAAGTCAACATGAATATCTATATGCATTTTTATGCTCATTTACCCTAATATATTCTGTACAAAACACATATTTTTAAAAGCAAACATAGACATACAGTATCTTTGTACTAATATAAGTGCAGCACAACATTTGGCATTATACTGAAATAGTGAAGTTAATTACACCCTAGTTCATAAATTACAAGGGCAGAGAACAGAACTGGCCTATGGGCTGGATTGCTCTTCTGGCCTCTTCTCAGTGCCAAAGGGCATTCTAGGTAGGAATCAGAGACTTTCTCCTTCTCTGAGGATGTTCTGCTAATAGAATACATCTGAAGAGCCATCTTCATTTCCACTTTGCTTTCTCAACATCAACAACAACAAAAAGAGAGAAGTTAGGGAATTCTAAGAATGCACCATTTCATGGTGCTTTTATTTCTTTGAGACAGCATCTTCTACCTTTCCTCCCCAAGGAAAGGAGAAATGGAAGAGAAACACCAAAGAGCTGGTTTTGTCTGCCCCTTGCTTTTTTAGATGGAAAACTGAGGAGCAGGAAAAGTTTAGAGATGTATCAAATGAAGCCATTCTCTGCACCTTGAAGAAGCAGCTTCATTCACCCTTTAATTTTCCTTTGTTTCATTTTGCTTTTAATTTTTGTACTTTATAAGGAGGACTGATAGCTGAATTTAGTCCACAAGCCTGATCTTCTGGTACTTTGGTTCAGGAAGTGCAAAGCGGTCAAGTTTACATTAAATTAGTGTACCAAACAAATTCCTCCCTCCTTGTTGGTGGACCTAGCCTCCTTCCTTTGATTAAAATTTCCAGAGCCTGGGAACAACATCAAGAAGGGCCTCTTATACATTCCTATTGAATGTGCCTCAGGATGGAGAACAGATCTTCTCCTCAGATTCTTACAACAACTTGGAAAGTTTCATACAGAGTTTGTGGTCTTTCAGATACATTGGTTTTTGCTAACTGAATAGAGTTTCACTATCTTTGCTTGCAGAATATATAGTCAATTTGAATTTGGTGGTGTCCATCTGGTGATGTCATGTATAGATCTGTCTTTTAAATTGCTGGAATAAGCTGTTACTATAAACATTGAATTTTCTTGGTTGAACTTTATTAATCTGTCTCCTGATTTGCTTGGTACATCAAGGCCAAATGTACCAAGCTCTACAGTACTCATTACTCTACTTGCTATTTTATTTCCAACTTAAACGTTCCAAGTTTCTATAATTCCTATGACATCTTTTTTTTTGGGGGGGGGACTCAAATTTATATCATTCTATCATTTGGGGGGATGTTTCTGAGCACTAACTTTGGCACCCTTTTGTTAATGATGTTGGCTATTTTTTTTTTCTTCTGTAAGAGTTTCTTGTCCACAGTACAAGATATGCCATTCCTTCGATGTGAAGTGATCTATTCCAGTTCATTGCAGTTCATTGATTCCCACAATCTCAGTGTTCAGTTACCAATTCTGCTTGGAAGACAAACAGTTTGTCTTGGTTTGTGCTTCTGACATTCCAAGTATCAACGATATACGTATCTCTGCAGCATCAAATCTCTGTTTGGCTTTCAAATGCCAGCTGCTAGACATCCTTTCAGTTTTAATCCAGCCATGTCATAAGTACCAATGCCAATAGTATTTCCCCTCTGCTCTTACCCACTGAAGGTAGTTCCTTCCAACCTTGGGGTGGAGTGGGGGGCTCATGGCTCATCTTCCAGTATCATGATGAGGTTGTCCTGGTTGTGGATGGTCATTTGGTATATACCCAAAAGTAAAGCTCACAGCATTACTGGGATGCACAAGCCCCTTCGCCACTACAAGGCAGTGATCCATGAAGAAGTTTAAGGAAGTTACCCAATCAAAAAATGAAATTACTTTGGCAAGTTTTTAAACTGGCAAATCCATGCTAACTCTTTGGAATTATGGCATTCCGTGCAAAATCCATACTGATCAATTGCCTTATGATCTGCTCTAAAATCTTCCCAGATATTGATGTCACACTGATTAGTTTGCAGTTTCCTGGATCTTCCTTTTCTCCCTTTCTGAAGAGAGGGACATGTGTTCTCTTCCTGACACCTGGCACTTCACCAGTTCTCCAAGATTCTACAGATAATACATTAGGACTTGGTCAAAACAGCAGCTGGCTCCCTCAGTACCCTAGGATGCAATTCACCTAGTCCTAGAGATTTAAAAATATGTACAGTGATGAGATATCCCTGAGCATGCTTCTCTCAGTCTCAAGCTTCAGTGCTGGCATTTCACCCTGCCCTTCATGGTTTATTGGGAACAAGGATTTTTGTTGGAGAAGATTCAACCAAATTAGGAGTTAAGCAGCTCTGTCTTTTAGCAACAAAGTAAGAAATTACAAGGGAAACGTTTTTACTTTCCTGGCAATATAAGAGCTTGAACATTTTAATACTGGGTTACCTTGTAAGGTTAGCATAATGCACAATCTCTCAGCCAACATCCTGCCTTTTGCCAAACATGTAACAATGACCTGTACCCACATGCATTGCCATATCACATATCACATATCACAGTAATTCAGAACAATCACCATCTTATTAAACACATTACCAACTCTTTTCAGTGCTCCTACCTTCCCTTTTGAGTAGATGCAACATTGTTTAATCGCAGCTACACTGGCCTCTCAGTCCTCCACAGAGATGCCCGTGCATGACCGTTGATTCCCTGAGAGTCAATTTATTCAGATCCAGTTAATGGGCTGCTGTCTGCAGCCCAAGTAAAACTGCCTAAATACTCCTTCCCTTTCTCTTGAACGAAGTAAAGCCTTGCAGAAGGTCACCTAACCCAGTTAACAGACCGGTGCTGCTTCTACTATCTGTGTGGAACCTGTAGCCAGCACAACCTGCATAAGTTGATAACTGAAGTGACCGTGGATCCTTTAAATCTAAAAATACCAAAGTTTCACCTGTTATTTGCGGAAAATGTCTCAAGTTCATGTTCAGGTATGCTGTGCTGAAATCTTGAAAAAGAAAGGAAAAGAAAAAAAGAAAAAAAAATAAAGACTCCCTTAATGGAGCTCAGCTGCTAGTAAATACATGGACCCATCCATGTGGTTTCCTTGCTAACATTACAGAAGTGATTTCCCATTGCCAAGATACTGATTTATTTATCTACGTAAATGTATGAGCCGCCACCATATATAAGCTGACATTTTCTAGGTTCTGATACTTAGGAAATGATACTTAGTTTTATTTTTTCCCAGATCAGCCCAGAGAACTGGACGCTGCCACCTGCTATAGGACCTATGTTTGAATCCACCTTGTGATTAGTAGATCACTGCTTTCTCTCAACTTCCATTTACCTTCTGCTTAAAAGCAACAGCAAAGATTTGCTAAGAAGCAAAAACTGAAGATAGTAAAGATAAATGTATAGTACTAATTATTACATTATATTTATTATTATTATTTTATTAAATCTAGAGGTTGCATGACTCCAGACAACTCTGGGCATCTTACAATTAACAAATAAGAAAGAACCCTGTCATCAAGCAAGAAAGAACTACGTACATTTAGAAAACATACAATGTAACAAAAAACAACCAGCAGGGGCTAGACACCTATCCTAGCCCCAGACTTGGGAGAACCACCAGGTCTTCAAAGACTTTTGGAACATCATCAGTGTGGGAGTCATAAGGATTTCTGGATGGATGCTGCTTAAGGTAGCAGGTACCATGACCGAGAAGATGTGCTTTCTAGGTTCTGATGGGTAGCATCCACTCAACTCAATTTTTCCAGATGGGTAGAAAGTATTTGAGATAGGAGGTTCCTCAAATAACCAGTCCCTATGCTATAAAGGACTTTGTAAGTGATAACCAGCACCTTGAATTGCACCCAGAAGCAAACTGACAATGAAGAAGATGATGATGATGATGATGATGATGATGATGATGATGATGGAGGCACAGAAGTTCTCTATGGACTGTGTCAAGATAACAGAAAGTAGAATGCTAATCAGAGGAGCAATTTGTTCCAGAGGAACAAAACAAAACCCCCACCCCCACCAACACTGGCAGGGCATGCAAAAGTATATAAACAGAGAGCAAACCCCATCCCATTCCAGCACTGAAGATGTTACCTAGCCGGGGAATGAAATGTTTGCAGGAAAAGAACCAAGCTCAGAGAACCCCAAGGACTCCACAATGATTACACAATAAGCGTCTTCTACACATGAGCATTTGGGAGG